TTATCATCAGCCATGATGATGGAAGCCAGATAGGGTTCTCTCAGAGGATTAAAGTCGTGAAGTTTAGTTTTGGAGGCATTAAAATTAACAAGCCATTTTTTTTTACCCCAGTTAACAACGGACTTGGGGTCGTTTTGGACAACCGGCTGACATTCTCACCTCGTTTGGATGTGGGCAGGTGTTTCTTTGAAAAGGACTGAAAATACCCTTCGATTAAGATTTTATTATATTTTTCTCGCATTCGTACAAGGGATTTCATTTTTCTTTATAGACTATGCAAGAATTGTCCAAATAATCTTTAAGTCCGAGCGCTTTCGTTTAATTTGTTAGCCATTATCAAGGATATTTTCTCTTTTCTTAAGTTGTAGATTTTTTGTATTAGCGATAGAAATGTTTGAATTCGCGAAAACAGTCAGCACAATTTAGCCATGTTCATTATTTATTGTGAGATTTGTAATCATTTCACACTAAGCAAGGCGATAATGCCACTAAGACGCAAGTGAAAGAGAATGAGAAAACTTTATTGAAGGGAAAGGACAATAATTCAGGAAGACAGATAATGGCGATTGGCATTTAATTTAAATTATTGAAGATGGTAACTGGCAGAGAAGCAAAAAACCGGAACATTGTTCCACGACCGAGAAGTGCGAGAAAAGAAACTGGTCGTCAAGGGCAACCGTGTAATTGACTTGAGTTTGAATGTATATTTATATATATATATATATATATGTATGTATAGGCAGCACTGTTCCTCGAGGCTCTCTATATCAAAATAAACCAACAAATACTTTACAAGATTTAATGTGTTGTAGTACACGTAACAAGCATCTAATGTCATTTTGCATGCAAGCAATTTCCAATCAGCTCCCTGATAATGAAACGGTTGCTTTACAAAAGATTCTATTGCTGCAACAGAAATATTTAAAATTTTAACGCGGGTTTTTTTCTTTTATTTTAAATTACCATTACAACAAAAGTTTATCTTTGCAATTTACCCCTGAGGATGATCGCTGAGAAGAACGAATGTACTCGGGTAGGAAAAGACAACAACGCGTTCCATGTTGAATTTCATCTTAACGTTAAGAAACTGACCAGAGAACACGAAAAGATCAGTATAAAAATTAGTAGACACAATATGTTTATATTATTCAATGTAACACACGCACACACACACACACATACATATATATATATATATATATATATATAAGAAATGGACAAAGTCCGACAATTTATTTATTAAAGACATTTTTATGTTTAACGTTCTTTTTTATAGATACAAGTATTTAAGTAAATGCTCTGTTTATAATAAACAGTATTAAATAACATTTACCGGCCTGAATGTCCGAGAAATTTTCAGATGCAGGTTCGAATCCTGTCAAAGGACGAATATTTTCTATGAAAATTTCTTTAATAAATAAATTTTCGGACTTTGTCCATTTCTTAATATATGACGTCATTTGTTTACATTTGATACGCCAGAGCAGTTATGAATGTACGAGATTCATGGAAGATTGAAGTTTATAAGCAGTAAAATTCGACCTTGCCTACCGAACGCTCCTTTGAGAGGTTAGGCACGTCGGCGTAAATGACGGTTCCGTATAGGATGCAGGTTCGAATCCTGTCAAAGGACGAATATTTTCTATGAAAATTTCTCGGACATTCAGGCCGGTAAATGTTATTTAATACTGTTTATTATAAACAGAGCATTTACTTAAATACTTGTATTTATAAAAAAGAACGTTAAAAATAAAAATGTCTTTAATAAATATATATATATTTTTTATATATTTTTATTTTTATATTTATATATATATATATATATATATATATATATATATATATATATATATATATATATATATATATATATTATCTAGTTATCTAGGAAATTATTATTTTATTGTTCTATATTAATATGTGTCCTTAACATTCTATGACCTTCAGCCGACTCTCAAACATTGATTTTTTTTTTAATATATATATATTAAAAAGAAAATAAGCCTCAAAGGTTTTTGGCTGAAATGTGGATTCTTAAGGCACGTCAGGCTATATGACGGTTCCGTATAGGATACAGGTTCGATTCCTGTCGGAGGTGGCATATTTTCTTTTAAAATTTCTCGGACATTCAGGCTGGTAAATGTTGTTAATACTGTTTATTATACACAGAGCATTTACTTAAATATTTGTATCTATAAAAAGAACGTATTAGCATAAAAAAATATCTTAAATAATTGTCGCACTTTGTCCATTTTATAATATATATATATATGTGTGTGTGTGTGTATGTATGTTAGTCTGCTTGAATGTATGTACATTTTTTGTGACTATTTTTATGAATCTGTTCACATCTCTTCATATAAATGAATAGCTGCTTGTCTTCCTATATATCCTCACAGAATCTTGTTCCTATTATCTTGGTCTGGACATCTAAGACACAGACAGAAAAACTGGTAGGTAAGGAGAGAGAATGAAAAGAGCACACCTAAGTTTGTGAAATTATTGATTATTCACCAAGCAGATGGGTTTTTCGCCCAGGCATCTCTCTTAAATAGAACGACCTATCCACGCCATCACAATTCAGAAGTACTAACCAGCCTGACCAATCGTCTGAATAATGTTCATACTGATGTAGTGACTGAAGCGGTAACACTAAACTACGAATGGTGATTTTTAAAAAAAAATAGTTTGACCTTCCTGAAGTAAAGATCACTTGTCAATCAAGCTTCTAACCAACAAAACATTGGCGTGTTTCTAAAATCTGAGCGACGCAATTCTCTAGCTGGCTCTCTAGTTATCTAGCACGAGGAAATTATTATTTTATTGTTATATATTAATATGTGTCCTTAACATTCTATGACCTTCAGCCGACTCTCAAACATTGATTTTTTTTTTTTTTTATATATTGCTTTGATTTTTTTATTGGGATTCTCTGATATTACCAATTTACGGTAAAATATATTTTTGTTACCCCTCTTTTAGTCATGAATTTTCCTTTAACATGTCTATTTTTATTTCACGAATAAAATTTCGTTCCCCTGGGAAAAACTTTCGAATTTAATACTTGCAGCGATTTTTTTTTATTATTTCGGTGTGAGTTTTTGTCTTTTAGTCTCAGATTTAATACTCCTCCCCGGTCTTTTGAACAGGTGTAGAGTTTTATTTCTTGCTTCTTGTTTTTGGATTGAGTTTCCGGTTCCTCGTAAAGTCTGCTTCAACTCTATATTCCTAACTCTTGTATTTTACTACGCTAATATAAATCCACACATTAGCTCTATACCTTGAGTGAACATTAGAAAAAAAAATATATGCCTCATTTTTATTGGCTTAATATCTGGTGAGACTGAGAGACATTCTATTAATTTCGCTTTTTCAAAATCTTGCAAAATGGGAAGAAGGAGTCTGGAATTAATGTGCTAAAGGTTCTTGGTTATTTGACATATAACACTCAAAAATCCCTTGTCCCAAAACTTATAATTCTCTGCATTTATTTTAACACTATCATCAATTCTGTAGCTATGTCTAATATTATTGCCACGATATATTAGCCCAAAACATTACTCGACTGTTGTCTTCTAAATTTGTTTGGTTGACTACTTCAATGAAAACCCAACTTCTATCAGTCATGGGCAAACAGCGGCCCTATCGGCATTCTGACATGCCTAATTTCATGAGGAAAATAACGTTATTAAAATGTTTGTTTCCTTTCATTCTAACTTGTTCACTGATGCATAGGCACATACGTAAACAATGATTAAGTACAACGTGTCTTAAATTTTGTAACATTTAGTTCACGGTAACGTTGTCAGCATTTTAAACCATTGGCGATTTTCTCTAAGGAAGATCATAAGTGTAAATACTTTTTGTTTCAGAAACCGGAAACATTAATGATAATTACTTTTCTCTAAAGAATAAATATACTTCTTTTTAAAAAAAATGTTTTTTCATCGTCAAATGAATAGATTAGAAATAAATCACACACAGCAGTGTGTTAATCTCTCTATCATCAGTTATATTATATCAGGACTTGTTTTTTTTTTTAATTATAGAAGGAACCTTTTCTCTAAATTCTCTTCATTTCTAAGGGAGGTGCTTATGCACACGCTCTTTTGTTGCGAAAATGGCTGCCGTATCTATAATGATAGACTGTTCACATTCATTACTAAAAATGACTGTAAAGAAATTAGGTTTAAAGTCCTTCGTTATTCAACCTGGATTTTTCTCTTTGTGATGTTTGACATAATAAGATATGCGTTGTGGAGAAAGATTTAAAAATCAGAGAGCCGGGTTCGAATTCCAGTCGGATTCGTTAGATTCCTTTGCTCGAAAATATCCTTGAGAAGTCTATCAATCCATCTCTTCTCTATCCAGCTAAAGGTTGAATAGCAGTTCAGATTGGACCTTATAGCCTTGGTTGGCAGCCGGTCTATCGCAGAAAGAAACGGCAGCCTACTGCGGGAATATCTCCTCTCTAGACCGCCATGAATCGAAAGTCACATGATTGCCCAAGCATGTATCACGGGGTGTCACGTGACTTCACTTTACCTGAACAGTAATTTTATCGAATTTTAAACACAAGAGCAGGAACTTTGGGCAGTTTAACCAGGATTTTGATTTGAATGTACAAACATTTATTCTAAAATCATGAAAAAAAAAAACAAAAAAAAAAAAACGGAAAATGAAATAAACAAATTTTGTCTGTTGTATCTATCAATCTCCTGACGAATGGACTGAACGATTGCAAAAAGATTCTTTGGACTTAATGAGTCTAAAAATTGTCCAAATATTCGCTGACGTCAAATGCTTTCGGTTAAGGTAGTCTCCATTTTCAAAGAATATTGTTACATTTCTATAATGTATGGCGAGTAAGCGCTGCTGTAGACGGTGTAAGAGTTGCGAAAAGTAGACATATTCTTAATTTCAAAATACGGCCAATATATCATGGCCGTGTTCCTAATTGATATTATTAAGGGTTGGTTTCTGGTTTGGGTATTGATCTTATGTATTTATTTTATTTTATAATACGGGCTTCCACTACTTTTTTGTTGTGGGAGGTTCTCGTTTATTTCGGCCAATATATAGCATATCGTTGTAGGTACAACTACGAGTTAGATTATGTTGGGTTTTTACAAGAATGTATCCGTACCGAGCTCGTGTCAGATATCTATCTATCTATCTATCTATCTATCT